TCTACCCCGCATGCGGCTGTTGTCTGATCATTCTCAGACTCTGTTCGCTCCAGCCTGGGAATGAAGGGAAATTCATCCAACGTTCCCCTCGCATGAAGACAGGAATAGCCAAATCTCTGCGAAAGGCAGCTGTGGCTGAGCGGCTCCAGTGATGCCGTTGGGAAAGAAAGTTATCGCCCAGCCAAAGTGTAGCGGTTATCCGCCCGATGGGACAAACGGCGAGAGTGGGGGAGTCAGATACCCCGCGCTCAGCACGCCACATTCGCCCTCATATACAATGAACAAGTCCGCTGCGATGCAATATGGAAGATAGTTCGATCTAGCGATTGGTCGTAGGTTTTCGATAGCGGATCGCCCCGGGATACCAAGTCGAGGCCGAGGAAGGCGTTTGCATTTGGGCACATTCGGATCCTTGGGCACAAAGTGAGCAGCAGCCGGCCGTCCCCCGCTAGACGGGCGAAGCTAAGAGGATTGCGCAGATCGCCCCGGCTTAGCAACTGGGGTATAATTGACCAAATATAGTAGCACGGAAGCGGGCAGGCAGCCCCTCCCGGCCAGGGGCGACAGCTCTGCAGTCCAACCCCTACCCATGTCGCATTGACGGCCCTGGAACCAACAGTAAGGAAGCAGAGGGGCTTACATCGCATCGATCCTTGAATCTTCGGGGCCAAAGGTTGGGCTCTATATCTCACCGTGCCTACATGACACGCGAGAAAGAATTCGCACTAATAGAAGCCCTCTATCCAACACCATATTCTATTTGTGGCCGAGTTCTTCGAGTCTGGGAGAAATTACTAAAAACAAGCACCGCAGAATTGGATATCCTTTGCTACATCTAGCTATTGGTGCTTCTGTCGTTTCACGCCTTTATCAAAGAGAAGGTCGATGGTGCCGTGTAGGAAGCTCAGATGGGTGGCAGATATGATGCCATAAATGTAATACAGTAAGCAGCAGTGGTTATAGTCCCCCAGATCACCAAGGATCATCCCCAGTGCCTTAGTCCAGGTATAGAGGATATTGCGTAGCATAAAGCAGGAATTATCAAACGTGGTTACCTGGCGTCTTTGCTAAGGTAAGAGCCTGCCATTTCGGGTGTCTTAACCCGTGCGGCGACGGAGAAAGTCGCCAAAATTGAATTTGTTGGTCAGGATATGAATCTACCATTTTTAAGTGAAGTACAACCTGAGAACGGTTCCCTGGCAGCGGCAGTGGCATGGTATCACTTAAAGCGAACGAGCCCAGGTCTGTATGATCGAATTCAGGGCGGGAAATCCCAGTGGTTCCTCGATGGGGCCCATGATGACTCAAGTCTGTCAAAAACTGTAAAATGGTTTGTGGAAGGATGCAGAGCAAAGGGGTACGTTCTACTACGCCAAAGTTGGACAGCTTGCTCACCTTGTGGACGTAGGTCTGGGGCTACAGAAGTCCTTATCTTTGCTAATTTGTCCCATTGAGACCGTTTTGAGCTTCTACAGCTTGTGCAGGAATCTCTCTTCTCACCAGATGTCTACCTTAGGCATGTGACTTTTACAACTTACAAAAACGAGAACAGTAGGCAACTGGAAATCAAGGCCAGAAAAAGCAACCAAAAGTCACATACCCGTTTTAGACTGAAGGAAAACACCTCGTGTGGTGGAATTGGAGCTCTCCAGGGAATAGTGGAACAAACTTGATCCTAATGCACTCGTGTGGTGCGAAAATACTGTTAAGGATGCTTCGAACCGCACTCGGAGCATTACACATACAGATCAGGAGATCCAGACCCTCATAACCGGAAGTCTGCACTTGGTCTGTCCCGTCCTTCATCTTTTGAGCGACCTCGATGAAGAATAGGCACTTAACTATGTAGTCCTGGTCTCAAATACGAGGGTCCACAATGATTAAGTATGCTATATCCATATTTATAGCCGTTGATTTTTAGAGCTATCTACGATATCTCTGGAAGTGAGATTTGCATATCTAGAATATTTGACAACACACAGTATGATAATCAGAAATAGGCTAGTTATACCAGTTGTTAGGCGCGCTACGGTGACCTACACGGAAATGATTTCACTCTTAAACAACATGCTAAATTAGTAAGTGTTGGGTCAAATGCTTTGGTACATCACTAAAATAGCTAATGAAGAATATACATATCACCAACAAACAGCAGCAGGTCCGCCAGGTCTTCATGAATAAAGTGAGCACCTTGCAATCTACATTCCCATTTCTTACAGACTTGGATGCGCGACCAGCCGCAGACCACAGCTTGTGCAAATGTTCCTCACCGAGACAGGAATGGGATATGCCAATACCATCGCTGTGGTAAGGTGCCGCCTGCTGAAATGCACCAAGGAGGCAGGTCTACCTATAACATGAAGGAGGTCGCGCGGAGGTATGGGATCTCCAGGGGGTGAAAGATTTCCCTAAACATTCAGGCCGGGATTTGGCGTGGTGCATGCAAGGAGGGGGCACAGTCCATTCTTTGGGCCCGGAAACTTCTCCCAGATCCTGTTAGGTGAAGGCAGCAAATTCCTGCGCTAAAAAAAGCATAATCATAACAGCAAATGGATATAATCATTGAGCAAGTATTGACTTCGGTGTGGACATTACGCGGTAACCAGCGAGTAGCTAGGGATGCTTAAATTAAGAAGTATATCCGGAGTAAATGAATATACATCCTGCAATAGTGGTGGCACACGCTGAGAACTCGCAGTCATACTTTTAGGACTACACATCCGGTAAAGCTTTTATTAAATCCCCAGTTGACGCTTACAATTTGAAGACGGTTACAACGGTTGATTAAATAGAATATTTGCTCTATGCAACACTATTATCACACAGTCCCGTCTAGGCCTATGCTCGCACCAACAGGATCTCTCACATGCGGCAATTTTCTGGGGTAGTACAGCCATACTCCGCTTCCTCCTTGCTTCGCCTCAAGCTCGGACGACCGTTCTCTGGGTATATATTGCGGCCCGTATGCTTCCTCAGGTAATGATGCCCATATCTCCACCACCATCAAGTCGATCCCTTTGTATCGCCCGGCCAACGATGAAACTACTCCCTAGCCACCTCGCTCTTGCCCTTATGGTGCCAAGCGCTCTCGCCTTCACCAACGGATGCCGCAAAGGCCTACTGTACTGCGGATCGACTCTGACAACTTATAATGGTGAGGAACACTCTTCCATCCCCGCCCTTTAGGAACGTCCCACCCATAACCATAACATCAATCCAAATCCCTGCCGGAGGCTCACATTAAACTTTTATCTAGGCTACGCAGAGCCTGAACTGCGCTCCGCCATCGGGGTGCCAGTCGCATTCGTGATCTCTCCCGCCGCCTCGGCCTACCATCACCCTGAAAACGCTCTATTTCGATGCGTGAACGATGTGGGGGGGTTGGAGTTGGCGGACTATTGCTCTGACGGTTGCACTACTCCGCCAAATGGGGACGTTTGTGCTTAGTGGGGCTATGGAGGAAAGACACATCCTCTTTGTTCTTTAAAACACTTGATACTTGTGCCATAACATAATAGTTGGATGAAGATTTCTAGACTCTGAAGGGTTCTTTAGCAGTAGTAGCATAATGGAATGGGTTATGTCCGAGCACATTAAAAAGACATGCGTGGGGGTTCCTGTACCAAGTTCCCCTCTATCTGCCCATAAACTTTCTATATTCGCTAGCCAGTGAGGGGACAAATTAAGCTCAAAGCGAAGACTCGCTTCCTCGGCGCGATCCAACAAGCTTGCCTTATATACACCATCAATTATCAAAGCACATGCAGGATGGCCGTTAGCAATAAGTGCCTAGCTTAGTATTGCACTTGCCTGTCTTAGCCTGTGCAAAAAACGTTCAATAGCCATATACTCACGGCTCTGCTGCTACGACCAATGGTGGGGGTCGTTTACTAGCTGTTTCAAGCCACAGCGTTCACAGGGGTGCTGTTCACAGGGATATATCCGTGCGTGTATCTATCATATTCATTGACGAGTAACAGGCGACAGGCGAGAAATCAGTACATGAATGACCAATCGGATCTCATCGTTTAAGGGCTATGAGGGGCACGCGTCCCATCTCACCTTTCGCCCTGGCCACCCAACCAGGGCACACAAGCATTCCACAGAGGCTTGACTTCTGCATGTTCCCCAGAGCCCATAGGCTGGTCCCAGTCCTCGTGATTCACACTCCTACCCTACCCCAGAGGTGCAACGACAATGAGATCCGTATAACCTGGATCAGCACCTTCAAAGAACGCGTAGTTCATATGTGGGTCTCATCCTCCCTAAGCAGAAGAAGCCGATCTGGCGCTGTTACTTTGCAGGGATGAATCACACGGGATTCCACTAGTCAAATCTACAGGATCCCCTGCAGACTCATGCTGGGTAGCGAATTACTACCGCTTAGGATTCAGACCAGGTTCGTCATTGTCCGGCACTCTTCGCTTCAGCAGGTGGCGACGGGTATGTTGATGGTGGATGATGCTGCTTTGGCACCTTGATGGTTTTTAACGATGATGCCAATGTCCCATAGTGCCATCTCCACCTGGCTCAGTGATTCTTCCAGCGACGCGCGTGAAACACCTTCGGTTCTAAGCCTCCATATCGAACGGACTATACGTGGGAAATGCGCCGTCAGACCTGATATGCGGCGTGTTACGTTCGCTGATGGCGTAATCAAAGAGATAGTGTCGGTGGTCCTACATGCCATACATATACTTCACCTAATAGCTCACTATAAGCGGGTCTAGATCCTTGTTAGTGCAGTTGGAAGTTGTGAGATAGACCACATCCTGGTCCCCGAAAAAGAAATCTGCTGATCCAAACATTGCCAGACTCTCGAGACAGCGTCATGGCGAGAGTATGATTTCCAGTGGGGGCAAACCTACTCTTGAAAATGCTGTACATAAAGAAATACTACTTGGAAATAATGGTATGGCTCTGAATGCACAAGGCTACGAGTGGAGCGGTTTCTGCTTTGACTCATAATTTTTGATTGGGCCGAGCCGATTTATCCACCCGCTTCCGTGGCCTAATGGTAAGGCGTGTGACTTCTACCTTCCAACCGAAGTATTAGCAATCCCAAGATTGCGGGTTCGAGCCCCGCCGGAAGCTTTCTCTTTTTATATATATATATATTTTTTAAGCTTATAGCTGAGCTCCAGAATGCCAGATCGTTCAACAGACAAGCCGCCATGAAAGCTTTCCAAACCATCGACTATGGAACTCACTCCTAAGACAAATTCATTGTAACCTCTGTCCTACCCTGAGTCTGAAATCAAAGATATAGTACGCATCCGGATTCCCACCGGAATGCGAAGTCCGGTAGAGGAGCCGATTCCCATCGACAAACCACATGTCCCTCGCGTGGTATTTGTGCTTAGGAATAAGCGGCCGTCGCGCCTTGTGATGCGCGTATTTGGGCGGCTGCGTGAGCTTGTTCATGGCGCCACGACACAAGGCGTCGATGCCGCGGGTATCGGTCGGATCGTCTGGGAGGAAAACGGACTCGAAGTCGCCGCTCACGAGCTCGGATATTACGGGTGTACCCCTGAGGCCAGAGGGGATAGCAACCAAATGCCGGAACGGGTCGAGGGCGACGATGTTATGGCCGGTATACTTGAAATCGAAGAAGACATGTTCTGTCGACGGTAGACTCGACTCGGCGAACAGGCCATCGGGCCCGGGGAAGAAGCGCTGCATGCGCATTTCCATGGCGATTTTCGGCTCGTTGCGCACGCTCAGAACCGCGAATTCTTTTCGGCTGGGCGCAACAACAATGTACGGGAATCTCCAGGAATCGACGGCGATTTCCTGCACGAGAGACCCGTCCTCGCCATTGAGGATCTGAATGGTCCGATCCCACATGATGGGGAGTAACTCGCAACGGCCGTGCTGCAGGAGCGGGAAGTACCGTGTGTACGGGGTCCAGTACATCGCCGATGGGTCCCAAGTGGAAGCCTGGCCGGTCCCTGTGAGTCGGACGGCGTATAGCTGCACTCTTGAGAACAGGTCATATGCATGGATTGCATCCCGCTGCAAAAAAATAGATGCGCTGCGCGCCGATGGCAATGGGGACTCCTGTGATCCGTGGATCGAGCCCGTCTGGCTCGTTTATGGTATGAAGCCTGCGGTTTTCTTCGAGGGAATACACATCAATGCTACCGGATAGACAGATAGATAGACATATATTAGCTCATATGGGACTGCGGCACTGGGCAGAAAGGAATGGGGTCAATGTGGTACCTCATTCTTGGATAGCCCGGCGAGGGCTCGCGGCGCTCGAGGACAAGGTAGCCGTTTGAACTGAGGAAGAAGTGTTGGCAGCGGTGTGGTGGGGGGTCACAAAGCAGTTGTTCGACAGGGAAGACGGACCCGTCCTCCTGGAAGTCCAGCCGCTGCCAATACATGTCCCCGCCAGACCGCCATGCAGCATAGTCGCCTGCTACCAGAAGGCCGTCACGGGCCTCAATCCTGCGCACGCTCGTTGCTTTGCCGGATGAGAGGTTCGCTGCGACGGCGGCTGTGGTGTGGTGTGGTTTGTCAGTGTGTGATTGTTGCGTTGGGCAGGAACGGGTGTGATGATTGTATACCTAATTCCCTGAACCTTTGGATACGTTGAGTGGGCTCTATGGAACTGTCTTTGAGCTGTTCGCGAAAGTTGCCAGAGAAGTTCGAGGACACGATCCATGCCCGTATAAAATCCCTCCAGCCCCTGCTAACACGCTCACACCGAACGACACTGGTTGAATCCAAATAGTAAAGGATGTTCCCAGCGGTTTCAAAGCTTAACCGCCCAAAAGGATCCTGGCTGCCCATGTCTGGTATACAATGGTGCAGACGGGAGGAATATACGAGGAGGAAGAATGGGACGTGGCATGGGATTCTGGTCGTAGTCCGAGGGCTTAGCGTGTCACGGGGTGCGGAGCCTTGTTCTTAGCGTCCAGGGAACGAGGCCGAGGGTTGCTGCCTTATGCCGAGGGGGGTCACACGGCGGGAATACCAACCTGCTGTGCCTACTGCCATACTTGTGCCGTGTGGGGTAACTCCTGAGTGATACGGTGGCCAACGGCCCCTTACAGACATCGTGGGTGTTGTTATATGCTTCGCCGTTGCCAGAGACCGTACCCGGAATTGATATCCTGGGAGAAGCTACCCTTATCTGGATGCTCAATCATAGCACCATCTATCTAAACCTTCCGGCTCCTGGGAACACCCCGCATACCCAAGTCCAACCCTCCCACAACGCATCTAGATATATCTCGGAGGGGAGCGTACCCCGCTACATCTCACAATCATAGTAGGAGTTCACACGTCCGCAATCACTAGGTGCTCGACCTGGGCTTGCTTTCCTGCGGTCCCTACAGCTCTGCGGTTTTGTGATAAGTATCGTACCCATATGAGGCAGACTGGTATAACTTAGGGACCTTGGCTGTCCTATGTTATTGGTAAGAGAATCTTGCTTGGTGTAAGTATTGACGTTCCTATGATTCAGAGTAACCATGCGATGTTAACTATATGGGGCTTTATGACGTTCAAGCTTCATGCCAATCGGGTATCGTCATTATACGGCGCTGGGAAAATGAATAAGGTCCATAAGACGAGTGTATTGTGATGCAACGTATACGAGGTACCGATAGACATTGGTACTGATTTCTCTTAGATAGTATATACATCCTTCTTATACGCCAATCTGAACCCCGCCCGCTCAACATTCCTCGCACTCGTCCCAGTCGGCCACGTCGTCACTGCAGCTAGGTCACACCCGTCGTTTTTCGCCTCGGCGAGTCGGGCCTTGAGCAGTGCGAGCTGTATGCCCTTTCCTCGGAATTCAGGAACCGTACTGTCGATATAAAGCTCCGCAACGCGGCCTAGTGGTGTATCAAGCAAGGCCATTCCAGCTGTTCCGGCAATCTGCCCGTTTATCCTGGCGAAGTAGAGGCGTGTGTCTGGGCGGATGGTTGCAGTTGCGGATAGGGTGTGGAAGAGATCGGATTGGGGATTCCCAGATTGAAACCCGGCAGACGACAGTTCGATGAATGCGGGGTGGTCTTCCGGGGCGACATGGGAGATGGTCAGCTCGTTGGTCGTTTCGCCCGATCCCCCCTCCGTCTCGTACTCGGGCAACGCGATGGCGTAAACATTCATCTCGGCGCAGGTTTTGTACCCGCGCGCATGGAGCTGCTCAAGCGTAGTAGGATGAGCGAAGGGGCACAAATTGATCTCCACCGGTACCCCGATTTTCTCGTAGAGCCGCTCAATGGTCCCAAGATCTTTATACGTGACAGGGCCATCCATTCCAAAGCCAGCAACATGGTTCAGCTTCCTCCCAAAGGACGCCTTGGTGACGGCAGCCACACCTCCACCAACAGGCTCGGCGAGGAATCCATCGCTGGGAAACAATCGACGCGCACCCTGGATTTGCGCGTTGATGAAGGCCACCTCGGCGACTTCGATTAGGCGCGCGGTAGTTGGGGTAATTGGGAACGCCATGCTGAAACTTAATTGAGACGGCCGTTAAATTGAGATCGTGAGAGGATCAGTAAGGTTGTGGCATGACCAATTTATTGGGGTTGCTGGCTGCTTATATGCTTCTCGTATTGCCCAACGCGCCCCACCCTGACTCACTGGGTGTAGATTGCCGGCGTGAGGGCCAAGACAACTGATTTAGTACCGCCGGAGTACTGACTGTTCTCCGCGGTGGGTCATCTATACTTGAACTCTTCGTCTGGCCCGATTTTGTGGTTCCGTCGAGTGTCTGGACCGAAATCTTCTTTGCCTTATGTACCGCTCTCTCGCCGTTGACGCCGTATCGCACGGAATGCTGGGCAGTTGAGGTGCTGGATATCGCGACGTGGATTGCTTGCTTGGTATATATGACAGTGATCATTTACAACCAAGTGCGCATCGCTTGATTGTGAGACTCGAGACTCGCGGCATGCTCCAACTCAGAAGGCAGGTGCGTTGCAGGCTCCTTCGCCACGGGTTGATTTGCGAGGAAAGAGCAATCTCTGCGGCCTTCTTTCCCTCGATGGGTAGAGCAACGCCGTCAACCCCATCGTCCATGAGTTCCAGCGGACGTTCAATCACACTGCATCGCTCACGCGCTTCTAGTACAAAACGTTGATGGCCTCACGGTGCTGGGATATTCCATACCTCTTAATGGCCGCCTGTATGCAGGTGCCCCGCGCTAACAATAGCACGATGTGTGCCTTGCGAGCCTTGCGTCGAGGCTCGCTGACGTTGACGCCGACCGCGTCCCTCGTTCCTCTTCCTTCATCTCCCCATCATCTGGCACGTTATCATCGCATCACTGCTCGAGTGCTTGAGACTGACGGCAGTAATTCCTGAATCGGCCATCGACGCTGGCTGCCATGTTCGACCAAAACAATCCGCAAACGCAAGCCTTGAGTCTATCAACTGCTGGGGCTGATACCACTGGTATTGATCGCCCTAGGGTCAGCCATGGTAGTTTCCTGGCCCTCAACGAGGGAAAGGGGTTTCCCTTGCCCTGCGTCTGCCCCATGCGGCTTTCCCCGCTCAACGGCGCTCGTGCTCCCCATCATCTGCCGCCCTGCGTGTTTTATGAGGGTGCTCAGGGTAGAAGCGTCAAGCTAACCAAGACTCGCGACAAGTGGCTCAACTGGTCGCTTCAGGTCTCTTCGAGTCCGCTAGCGGGCGTGTACAGCCATACTGTACGTCTCAAGCGGCTTGTGCCGAATGGGTCTGGTGCTTTTGGCATTATCGAACGCATGCCACCATGGGGGGCCACTGACGCCGAAGTTGCTTCCTTTTCGTTCAAAATGATTAGCGAGTTGCGGCAAGGATTCGGTAGATCGCTGTCGCGGCCATCAGACGAACAGTACGATGGCAGATCCTTACTCGGTGTACGTTGTATTTTCCCCCCGAGCACTCCGCAGCTAAACATATCAGGCCGCTTGCTCTCTCACTCCGCTCACAGCGGCCGAGTCATTGCACCAGTTTGAGCTGTTCAAATTCCTCATTGGGATAGGCTGTGCAACAGATGATCCCAGTACCGATAGCAAGAATCATCCGTTAGCGGTCTTACTAGCTCACGGTCGCGGGGAGAGGATGGGCGACATCGCCAGTTTGCT